GTCCCGCTGTCTTTATATGGGTCTTCATGAATCTCAGGGGTTCTTATGTAACCCAGAGGAGTTGCTGCATATAGTTTGATTTCATTTATTTTTTAAGAAAGCATTTACGGTTCAATATTCTGATGCTACCTCTTCTATCCTCTTTGGTCCTCAAAATTCCTGTTAAGCATCCCAGAGGTGTTTAAGTTATTTCCATAACATCTTCTACCAGATGTTCACAGAATCTGTTTAAAGGCAGTAAATTGAGAACTACAAGAAAATGAGGCAAACGTCTTTACATAAAATTTTTAATGTTGCACATACTGCATTTTATAACATCAGAAGAAAAAACCCAAAGTAAACCTCAAAGACAGAAAATAAATATATATTTTTATGAATATATGCAGAGAGTGTGCAAAAAATTGCATCTGTAAAACGTTTAAATGCTGAATCATACAACAAAAATTTACAAAAGCACTTATTTCTTTATACATGTCAGCTTGCTTTTAAAACACAAAAATATTTTAACGAATCTTACAAAGATCAAACCCTTTTGCCCTTCACCAGGATAAAAGTGGTGAAGAAAATGTATTACCTGGAGGAAAAGAAAAAACCCAGATAAACAAAACGTAAGCCTGAACAGATACCAACAGAGCAACATTTAGACGCTGAGGAGGAGTTTCGCGCTGTACATGGCAACGCAGGGGTCAAACCCTCCTGAGCCATAAGGGCTGGTCCTCTGAAGAGTTTTATTCCTTCCATTGAGACAACTTCTCCTTTACCGTGGCATTCACCCAGCACAATACTGAAGTGCCCTGTTTCCTGCTGTTACCAAACCACAGCTTTATGTCAAGGGCTGTTGCACTGGGAAGTAACATATCATGTCTAAGTAGGAGCCCTTAAACCAACAAGAGCTGGGAGCATTAGCACTGCAAATTCAGCACCGTTTGCAACGAGCCGTCAGGTACCTGCTTCAGACGGTGCGGGACAAGGGTCCAGGACTGGCGCCTATTCGCGTTTGTGTTTCGGACTGCACTTTGGTGTCAAACCCAGACAATTGAAATTATACTTTTTTTTTTTTAAATAAACACTTTTGTCAGGAATACATAACGCTGTAGCAGTAGGAGTCTTCCCAAGGTAAGCGACACGCTTGGCACCCATGATGCTAATAACCACGTGGTATCTAATAGTCCTGTTTTTCCTCCTAGGCGAAACCATGTTTAAATTGGCTGAGTTGCAAGTAACTGGTTTGAACTGAGGTTTCTTGGAAACTGAAACAGGCCAGCAGAGCAGACTGGAAAATGAAAGGAACAGAGACTTGCTGTGGAAGTCAGAGAGTTTTGAAGGCAGGTATATAGAAAGGACTGGCTAGAGAAAGGACTTGCCACGTTTGTGCCTGGGATTTCCCTGGCGAGACCCTGGACGAAGCATGGGCACAGCAAGACGGCACCGTGGTGCAGCGTGCCGAAGTGCTGGCCCAGCTCAGTTTGTGCCACACAGCTGATGGCACTCAGGAAGCCATTTCGAGGAGTCCGATGGGCCCCACATCTCTTGCACGGACCCCAGCCAGCCATATAGCACAGGTAGCTTTCTGAAATTTAGGCAATTCACTGCACATTTGCTATAGCATCGCACATTCAGCCTCTTTGGGATCTCCTGGCATGCGGCCACAAGAGGCTGCTGCTTCTCTTTGGACATGCAGAAGGCACAGACACAAATGACCGAACTCCTTAACTCTCAGCTAGGAGGAAAAAAAATACCTCTTGGGCAGATAAGGAAAGGGAAGGGGGAAAAATGAGGTCCTGTCCTCTTTAAAGCTGAGGGACCATGTCAGCCAGCATCATCTTGTATAGCCCAAACTATGATGGTCAATAGAATTCATTGCTAAGGAAATTAATTTTTCCTAACAATAGAAATTTGCCTGGTTCAAAAAACCAACTTGGGGGATCATAACAAAACACTCTGATCTAACTAAAGAATGTAGTCGTAAACATTTACTGTGGACTGCAGCAAATCTTAGGAATTTACCTTGCAAGGTACACAAGGACCATCTCCACAGGAAGCAAAAGAGGAAAGGTTTCCATTCTGATTGTAATTGAAGTAAACATACTATATGATAAAAGGAAAATATACTTCAAAAGTAGTACTTCATAATTACGAATTATAAATTACAGATGAATTATATAAATTATAAATTATAAAAATGCATTGGTTTGAATAACTGAGTTTAGGGCCACAAAATAGATCTTTGGGTTTCCTGTTTAACAAAAACATTAAGCATTCACCTCATTACTTTACTAACTGGAGGACAAATACAAATTAGACTGAAGTTTTCTGGAATCTTAGAAATAAGCTCACCTTCCTGCACAGTGCAGATAAATGAACTCTCCCTGTTGTGTGAGAGGTAAATTTTCTCATCTTTATTGTAAGCCACATAAATTAGGGTCTGATCCTACATATTTACACATGAGCGAGATGGCTCACAAATATGCTATAACTAACACGCTCTGTTAAACTGTTTTATTGTACTTCTAAAATTATCTTATTGGATAGTATATCCTAGCAAGTTTCAGGGGAATTGAATCTCTAAAACGTGAAACTGTGCAGCAGAATCTTTTTTGAGGTATATACTAAAACTAAGTATGTAGGATGTAGATTTTTTTTTCTAGCATGTTTCCAGAAAGTCTACTCACCAATAGAAGCATCTCTCATGTGAAGCTCAAAGCTGTAGGGGTCCTTCACCTGAGAGCTCCAACAAAGCAGTCCTTATTTAGGTATTCCAAGACAGCATCTTAAGTCTGAATAAGGTTTTCAGAATAAGCCAAGTCTGACATTTTTATCTTATGGTCATTATCTCAGCATCAAATTTCTTATTAAAACCTATGAGAAAATTGTTGCAAGGCTTTTATCCTCACATGAAGAAATACACTAATTTCACTCTAAAAATATTTGGCCTGAGATAGGGGATGAAAATACCATTTTAAAAGGGAATTTGTCTGAGAAAGGTAAGAGAGACTGGGAGAAGGAGCTTACAGTGCAAAACAGATTTCAAATTTTTAAAGTAGCAGGCACTACAACACAACAGTGATTTCACTGTTCATTTGTGGAAATGGAGTTGATTTTGGTCACTTGCATATCTTCAAGCAAATCTGAAGACAATATCCAGTTTCTCCTTATTTGTTTGAGTAAAAACTATGTACATGTTAAACTTATCTTTGGACTTCTTTATCTTATGCTATGTTACTGGACAGATAACAGTTCATAGCAGTTAACATCCTTAAAGCACTGTAGTAACATTGATTACTGTTACCCCTCATGCCCTTCTATGAGGTAAGTAACCCCATGCACCATTGATAAATAATCAGGTACTGAGCTGCAGCATTGACTGTCTCCTACAGTTCTTGAATAAATATTGCAGAGAACTACTTAGGCTAAGAACTTTTCATTAGCAGGTGGTTTGCCAACAGGTATTATCACCTCCATTTTAACAGGAGGACCTGAGGAGCAAAGAGCTGGATCCTCAGCTGTATTCGACACAGCTCCAGTGACTGCAGGGGAATTACAGTGAGGTATGTGGGCACTGAGATACATGGCCAGCTGCAGCGCAGATGCAATTTTCCTATACAGCCCTCTAATTTTAGGATCTGATCTTTTGATATCTAGAGCCTAACTTACAGAAGGGCTGAATGTCCCCTGTTCAGAGGGAATAGACCAGTTGTCACCTTCGTTCTCCAAGGACTATGTTTGTAGACATGACCAAAGTAAAGTTTCCTACGTAAAAGCCCAAGGTCTGTCTCAGCAGTTTAAGGCCACACGGCAAATGGGTGACGGAGCCAGGGTGCCAGCGTGCCATAGTCCCCAGCGCCTGGAGCTGCCTGCCCTAAAGCAGGCACGAACTCTTCCCTATGTGCTACCTGCGCACCAGCCACCTGCCACAGGGCAAAGAAAATAGATGGGGAGAGCAGTGAGGATGAAGCCTAGGGCTAACATGCACCACACATCACGCAGAAGGACTTTGAGAGGGTGGATTTACAGTTACCTTGATTTAGAAGAGTCACAAGCGGCTGGATTCCCAGACATTTGGGGTTTTTTTCTCCCTACATTTCCGTTAGCATTATTTGTCACGCTTGCAATGTTTCTTATAATGATCATTTGTCTCATAAAGTAATTTAAAAAAAAAAAAACACTGTAAAAAGCTCCTTGCTAAAGCAGTTCTTTGAAAACTCAGTGAGCGCGAGCATTTGGGGCAGAATAGCTGCTTTCTGGGAAACGAGATGAGCGGGCCACACCGCTGCCCGCGCTGCCGCGCGCGTTCGGCTCCCCTCAGCAAAGCTAGCGTGTCCCTAGGAACTGGCCGGGTCAGGGCCAACCGAGGGCACACGCTCAGGTGTCCCCCTGCGCTGAAAAAACAGGATACACGGTGCAGCGGACACAGCCTTTTAAAGAAAACAATCTTAGTAAGATTTCTGGTTTAAGCTCTAGAGGATTTTTAGAGCTGCTTTCTTGGACAATTTGTTGTGTTTACACAGCCAAAGGAAGGTGTGCTTGTAGCTCGTGATATCCAAATCCAGTTTTCATGTAAAGACCTCCAGCTAAAGCCCGGACCACGGCTAGCAGTCAGCACGCAGGCTCTTTAGCTGCCTGGATTAGCGCTCTGGCTGTTAGGCTGTGCTAACACCTGGATATGGTATTTTTATTGCTTTTGGTACGCCCACCAGCCAAGCTAAACTGGCACCATCAGCGAAACAGGCAAATGGAAAAGGCACACTGTCCTTCTGCTCTGTAAGTAGTAGCTTCTGAAAGAAGTTACTTGCATTCAAACTGAGAAATTAATAAAAATAAACCGAATAGCTTTACTTACCCAGACTTAACAAGCTACACACATGTGCAATGCTTTCATAAAATATTACCCTTCAAACCATTAAAAAAACTCCCACTCTGTGGAGAGTTTTGCATTAAAGTTAGACAACCTTTAAAGTATTGAAAAGGGCAGGATTTGTATTACAATAAAAACGATGATCTCATGTCTATTAGTGTATTCTGGGCAAGATACTGCCTTCAGTTACATTTCTTTAAAGGAGGGAAGAACTTGGCACTTGTACGTAACAGCAGTATTAATGAAAAAACATGAGACACCTCCAATCCATTAGGCATTTTAGTAAAAAACAGGACAAGGAAAGAGGAAGAGGACAAAGAAAGAAACCAAGGTAGCATAGTCTGTATTGGGCACAGGTAAGACTACAAAATTTGAAAAACCCATGAAATTTAACTAGCAAAGGATACTGGTACATCACAAAGCTGGTTATGGTTAAAAGAGACTGTACAGCTCCTATATCTTTGTCCTTGAGGCTTCCTTAAAGTAGGATTCTCTACTACAACTTCATAAATAAACAGAAAATGACAGTAGTGCCATAAAACCATAGGTAGAAAAATAGTGCAAAGCCAAGGGCTGGACACTTTAATCTGTCACAAGTAACCCCAAGCACTTCTATTACCGCTCTTAAACAAAACGTATACAGAAAATATTCTCTACTTATTACAAATCGCAGTTGCCTGCATTGCACTCTATTTTCAGAACGTACTGATTGGCTTTCTGCTTCCCTTCGAAGCCGCGGATGGAGAATAAACACCACCTTTCAAACTAGCGAGCGCTGCCTGCCCTCCAGTCATGACTGGTAACCAAGACGGACAGCATTTACAAAAGAAATCAACTAAAAAGTAAAACAGACAATATCATTTAAGGCCTTTGTCCCTGCTCGACAGTCTGCTCAACAGACCACGCTTTCTTAAAACAAGAACATTTACCGCTTCTGGTAGAGTAACCAGAGAGCGGGGTTGACCAAAGAAAGGTCGCATTTACGGCTGCCAAGAAGGCGCAGCTCCTGAGGCTCGGCCAAACGAAAAAGAGAAGCCGTTCCCCGCAGCATGCTCCTGCTGCCTGGCACTGCCCGCGCCCACGAGGGCAGAGCAGCGCGTGGCTAGCCCGAGACAACTTTCGGGCTGAGCATCTCTTTCACATCTCCTCGCAGCCCTTATGGAAAGGGGTTTGGAATTACAGCTGGTTATAGCGCATCAGTTCCCACAGACATCAAACGCACAGACAGGAGTCCTGAACAAAAGCCGCCACGGGCCAGGGTTATAAGGAGCACTGGCTATTAGGGAAATAAACTCCACAGGGCAGAGCCCGATCTCAGCTACTCCCGAGTAAGCCTGGAGCAACTCCAGCTCTTCACTGAGGCTTTAGTCTGAATCTGCACAGGTGTAACCGACACCAGGGTCTGAGCCGGATCGGTGGCGAGGCACCAAAATAAAATGAAGGGTGCACTGAAGGACAGCCTTTCAGTAACTAAAGATCATTGGCAACAGAGATTGTTAGCCTTGAGTGGGACAGAAAAAATATCTACCAATGGATGGAGCTTACATTTACACAGCATTTCTTAAGTGACCACTTCAGCAAGTCCACGGGGTTTAAAAGAAGGGGGGTGCTGAGCCTGTTCTGAGAAACATTTTTCAGGGTTCTTCCTGCTACCCTATGTAAACTCTTAATAATATACTGACTACACAGAAAATAAATTGTGCATTATTCACTCTGTGTCTGTTTCTACACACATACAGTCACTCTATATGCACACAAACAAGATCTCATATACGGTGTATAAAATAGGAGATGTACCATGGTCTTTCCTAAAATATTAGTTTCATAGTGAGTTCACTCCACCCACATTACTGATACAAGTTATGCTCAAGGACAAGGCAATATGCATACACCTAATATTTCAAGGAAGACATGTCATGTTTGATCTGAAAAAAATCAGCTTTCCCCAGGTAGCCCTGTCTTCAAAAAGAAAGCCTCATCTTAGAAATAGTTTTGTTGGTTTTTACTTCTGTATTTGAGATGAATAGTATAAATCCCATTCATTTCAATGCTGTAAGCACAGAATACTGTTAGAAATTTCTTCTAATAACAATAGCTTTTTGATACTACCAACAGCGAGATGAAAATGCTTTCACTGCTGTTAATTAAACCACCTAACTAACGCAATTAAACAAAGTTCGTGTTGCAGTTTGCACTATTGGTAGTGACACAGAACACTATGCAAATGACATTGTATTGTATTTGTACGTGACATTATATTTATACCATGGATTTTTTAAAAATATAGTTCAGTACCTGTGTGCACGTATATGTTTTCATAGAAAATCAGTTCAAACCATTCCATATAATACATTTAGTTATGAACTGTAAGTTACCAGAATTCTTCTCTCGGTTGTATGTTCCCTTCAAAATTTCTAGAATACTCTCCAGTTCTTCAGGTGAAAGGAAAGCCATGGCAGACAGCTGACAGGAAACTATCAAATACATTTTCTTAACAGTTTGTCACCTTTAACAGGACACAAGCTAGCAGGCAGAAGACATCAACAGAACCTTTCTCTCTCTCTCTCTCTCTCCTTTTATAAAATACCCAAAACTTTCTGACAGATCAGAGTGTCACCAAGAACCAAAAGAAAGCATGGCAGTAATGACTGAGTCTGCAAAGGCAGAGTAATACTGCAGGATCAACTCATGTGCAGCTAATGGAAGATCTAAAACTTCTAGCAGGCTCAGAAGGTGGCTCATATTTGAAGTATGAACTACTGAACGATGTCCTGTTTTCTTTCTAAAAAGCATAAACATATACCGTATGCCCTGCACAAATACATTGGCTTTTCCCACAAAGGGACTTGTTAGTGATAGAGTAGCCTGTCATGAATAGGCACTTATCCCAAGAATTGGCAAAAAAACAAAAAAAAGGGAATATTATTTGGTAGGTATGGCACCAAAATCCAACCGTTGTGCTTTCTCACATACATATGCTGTACAGATGAAGGCTCAAAGAGACACAGAGTTTTAGGTTGTTGGTGGGCTATGTTTTTTCTTTTTGCTTCGGCAAGATTTGCAAATGCAGCAAATGATGCATGGAGACGCCACGAGCAGCAGGGGAGAGGTCACCAATGCTATGATACCTAACCCAACGAGGATCCCCACAACCTGAAAGACAGAGAGGGGGGAAATACCTATTTAGCTAATGTGCTAATACATACAAAATATATGCGTGCATGTATAAGCACTGCGTAGGTCACAACAAAATAGTTAAAAGCCTAGAAATAATCATCATAGTCTTTTACTGAAGGGTAAAATCCCTTTGCTTCAGGCATGCGTGATGGCTCTGCTCGGCCGGCTCTGAACCCACCTGCGTCCTGTTCCACATCACTGAAGCTCGCGAGTGGCCTAGCTTGTTTCTGCAGGGGCCTTTGTCATAATGTCTTAAGAAGATATCGTTCTGAAAAACAAAAAGAGAAGCTGTAAGAGCAGGTTACATTAACTTGGGGAGGTATTCAAAACCGGACTGGAAAAACAACTTTCCTGACGCTGCTGTAAAATTGCAAGCTGCTGCCAAGATAGGTTCACCCATCTTTCAAATAATTTTCTAAACAAACTTCTTGCAGTTTCAAAAGGTGTACTGTTTTGGGGACCCCAGCTACTGTATACTGTCTTCTTTTTCTCTCTTTTAAAAGGCATAAGCATACACGTACGCGTTGCACAAATACCTAATTTGACCCTGCACTGTGATTTGTTGATGATAAAGAGGCCTCTAAACATCAGGCATTTCTGAAAGCTATAAACCTGAGAGATTATCTTCCGGATGTACTTCTACCTTCTGTTCTCCTGCTATCCCTATACTTTCTGGTCATTTTCTTCCTGGACATAATTGGAAGATTTAAAAAAGTAGGAAATCTCTGTTTCTTCTTCCTTTTCCCAGTGATATTTATTAAACTATACAATTTATCCCAAAAAGGTGACCTATGCTTTGCATTACCCTTCCCTAGACAGTTGTGCTGTAGCATGAGCACTGCTTTCTCCTTCATTCTTCAACTTTACTCTTCCATTCTGCGAGCGTTACCTTTAGTTCAGCCTGCAGTCCCTCTAACCCTGCTCATTTGGAAAAGCTATGTTTGAATCACACAACTACAGTCTCTTTTTTCCCTCTTGAACTGATTAAAACTTGATAAAGGCACGTCTACAGAGTCTGCGAAAATTTGACAGTCTTCCAGTTCAGTGCAGTGTTGAGTAATCATTGTGTACAGTATGTACTCTGAAGCAAGCCTTAAGACTGATGTTGAAAACACATGCTCACACATACAGAAATGGGACACAATGCTACGCAAAACCTGCTTAGCATGCTGAGAAAAGGAAGGATGAAGAATGAGGAAGTCTCGACATTTGCTAGCTGTGGAGTAAAAAAAGAAAAAAAAATCCATGCAGCATTTAACATTATTTTATGTCAAGTGCTGGTAAAGTTCTTTTCACACTCCCACAATTGTTACTGATGACCGTACCAAAAAAGGGAAGCTGTCATATACACAAGTACATTACATTTTTTTGTCTTAATCCTGTTAGGAAACTCAAAGTCCAAAAGAGTTCAGGCTATTTAGTGTTATTTGAGAAATGCCTAGCAACCTGTACTTCACAACCCATGTTCATAATGCACCATTTTTATCCTCAAGCCTACTAACTAATCATTCTCTTCAGCAAACACAGCACTACAGTAGTACTAGGAAAGGAAACTTAGTTTACACAAGCTCTTAATGTACCCTCATTTGAAACAAGCCCCTTCATCCAGTACCATACCCTTTTTGGACATGCTGTGATTCTTAGGGTTGGAACAGGTGGAAGACATTTACCTCTTTGACTCTCAACCAAACTGTTTTCATCTACTGCACTGAAAGAAGGACTCAGAAAAATGTAATGCTGGAATGGACTTCCAGAAAGCAACCTGTCTTTCCCACGTCTTTCAAAGAACTATCGTTGGACACAGGGACATGGCTATAATCCTTTATGGAAAAGGATGCTGATACAGATAAAAGCACTGGATGAACGAGAGGAAAGAAATACAGTTAGAGGCTGAAACAAGCCAGAACATTCACTAGGATATCGACAAGTTGTGGAGAGCTTGTACAGGGCCTGAGGCTCTAACCCCAAACCCCTGCTACCCTTTATCTAGGAGTGTTTTCCTGTGCACTTACATCCAAGTTCTGCAGACAGTACCAGCAAAATGTGTGCTTGCAGTTCTTGCACATCATCTGAGCGCAGCCTTCATTTCGCTCAATGTAGATCCGACAAACTGGGCACTGCTTAATCGGTGCCTCTATCTCCATCCCAATAAGTGATCTGGAAGAGTAAGGAAACATAACGTGAAATGTGAATGTAATTACTGCTATTGCTCAGCTCCACTGCCTAGTACGCACAGTACTTACTTTCCAGAGTGATGAATATTGTAGTCTTAATGTGCTTAAAGTGTGAAGCTTGGCAGTAGACCATGCTGAAGTATACTCACTATAAGGTGAGGTGTAAGACTATTTAGATCATGTAGAAGCAGGAGAAATGCAATTGTTTTGGTCTTTTAAGCTACATAAAATCAACACTCACTATAGCCATGAATATATCACATATAGCATTAAAAATAACACTTTTTAAGGGAGCTTGCACAATTCATTAACAGGACTGGATTATGAGACTCATAGCCCTGTCCTTACCCAAACAGAATAAACTTAAACTCCACTAAAGCCAAAGATCAAACCTGGAGAAGAAAAATTATGGGGAGAGCTCTTCGGTAACTCCTGTTTGATAAGGCTTGCAGCAAACAGAATGCTTAGATTTTAAGTCTTTTATTTGCTGCAAAACAATGACAGAAACCTTCTAACACACATGACTGAACTCAATCTGATTCTGAAAACAAAGATGGATGGTCACAGACATTACATAATATAAACACACAAGTGCTTTATTTCTGAAGATTAAAGGCTTATGCATCCTTAAATGCAGGTTGTTTACACTTACAACAAATAAGCATAAATCAAAATTCTCACTCACACCAAATGAGACATTTCATGCCCACTTTGCACAAGAGTTGAGCTTCGTCTATGCAGAGATTCCGTAAACATCTAGCAGGAGTGAATTCTTAATCACAGGGAGAGCACTGTGTGGACCCAGTTATATTAGTATATCGGGTATTCTGTACTGGTAAAAGTCATAATTCTAACGTGCAAACCAAGTCTGGTGGACGTGACCTTTCTGAAGTGTTCGTGAAACCTCAGATTTGGTAACTACCCAAATAATAATAAAAATAAATAGTAAAAAATGGAAATACATAATTAAAACCAGTAAGAATCACACTGGAATTGTATCTAGGAAACACTAGCAGAGACGGACAGCATTGGGGATGCTCCTAAGAAGCCAGAAGAAGGTCACTCCATGTAACTGACATAGGGTACTGAATTAGCACCCAGTGCCAGAAAGAACTGGAAGATCACGAGGCCTCCGTGGGTTTTCCTCTTACCCCTGCTCAGTTGGTACTACAGTAGTCTGGTTGTCCTGGCACAGGTGCTCTGGGTGCCACGCCTCCTTGCAAGATGAGCAGAACTTCAGGTGGCAAGCCTGGCATTCAGCCGGCACTGGCTGTCCCGAGTCACTCAGTTCAATACAGCACACTGCTTGGCAGTCAACAGCGGGGCACCACGTTCTCTGAGGGTCCAAATGAACTTCTGAAATGTAAGTGAGAAAAAAACTATTTATGCAATCCCCTTCTCAAATGGACTTTTGAAACATAACAAAGTGAGAAATAAAACTGTTTATACAGTCCCTTTTTCATTCCAGTGGCATTTCGCTTAGGCACACAAGACCCAATTTGGTGCTTGCGTAGGAAAGCAGAAGCCCTCTATGCCTACTTCTGTGGGTGTCTGAGCCTATTCCTCTTCTTTATGCAAGCCTGGAATTCTGCTCTGCAAAGGCAGCTGCACTGGAAGCATCTCAAGAATGGCAGTACACTACATCGGACACATTCTTCATCTTTTTTCATCAGAAGTTTAAGCAATGTTAGTCAAACAGGACACATCAGAGAGCCTCCACCATCTGAATCCAAAAGCACAGCTAGTAGACACCCACTGATACAGTTTGCTTACTCATTCAAGGTGTCACTTAAATCATCTGAAGCTCTGAAGGATGAGAATAATGGTTTACTCCACATCCACTTGTCTGTGACCTCAGAAAGTTGTATAAAAGATGAACGTAACCACTGCTTGCTGAAAAGCATGTTCCCTTTACAAAGTGAGGGCAATGAAAACTATTCCATGTTTTTCATGTAAACAGCAGAAGGACAGTCATTACATTAACGTCAAGTCAGTTTTTGAGCCTTATTTCTCCTCACCCTCTATCTACAAACTCAGATTTACATTCGCCTCATTAAATGATCATTATTTGTCAGACATCAGATTACAACAACAACCAAGATAAAATTATGGGTGTAGACACTGAGTTACAGATGTTATTGCACAGAATGGTAAATGTTGATTCTTTCTCTTGCTCTCCAGCACTTGTTCAAGAAATGTGGACTTGCAACAGAAACCCAGCTGAAATAGACTTGTTCTAAGAGCTTCCACTGCTTGTGAACGTTATTCTGCTCATTTCCATGAGCTGCAGTCAGAAAACCCCACACCTGCAGATCTTGCCTAGAAAAGGGCTGTCACGGCTGTAGGACCTCCTTCCCTAGGAGCCCTCTGGTACCACCACTAAAAATAGATGGCGGGTATGTCTCAGAAATGGGTGGAAAACCCTGACTGCAACAGGGACAGGCTTCTCTTCTATTTCCAGCAGATAAAATATCACCCTATCTGCAACAAAGAGCATAAAAGGGCCCCTCACAAAGGTCCTCTGGCAAATTCCACTGAATTAGTTAAAGGTGTTTCCTCCTACATGCACCTCCCTGCCTGCACTGCTCCACTGCAGGAGATTGCTGGTAGGGGGCTGCTGGAGCGATGTCTAGCAGATGCTCCAGTCAGCTGGGTAACCAGTGAAATCAGTTCAGCACCCAGGCATCCAGAAATTAGAAAACGTACAAATAGAAATGTGCTCAGAGAAAGAAAACTCTCCCCAAGCCCTCAAATATATACATACCCATGAATAAGTATTCGGGGAGAAGGATAGCCCCCAAAACCTCATAACCCAATGTGCATTAGAATCTCAACTCCTTTCTAATAAGCCAAACCACTGAAAACAATCCTGCCTGAAAACTTCAAGGTTCTTTAAAATTGAGAAAAACACTGTAGAGTTAATATCCATCTCCAGTCAACACAAACGTATTTCAGCATCATCCATCCAGAACGCTCAGAGCATTCTGCTGGTTTTGGAGGCATCTTTGCATTCTGAGAGTCTTTCGGTGATCAGTACACTGAAATAGTTTAGTTCATCCTGAAACTATTCAGAATGATTTTTGACAGACATTTGGAGCAAAAAGCCACTTTTTAATGACCATATCAACAAAGCCACCAGAGAAGGAGTGACTGGCAACACCCTTGTATTTAACAGCTGTCAGAGTAGATATGTAGGAGAGAGATTCAATCTACTCCCCTGCTTGAGGCAATCTGAACCCCATTCTCGTCAGAAAGTGTCCTTTGGGCTGGGATACCACAAATTCCTGGGCTTGGTTTTCAGCTTCCATTGATGCTATTCCAATCTGAATGTACAGAGGTGGTGGGGAGTGATGATCACCTGGGAGATCAGGTGACTACTAGGTTAGGCAGTCACTTTCAGTTCCTATCTTAACACCTACTTCATTCTTTTATTCAGACTATGAAATATTTCCAAAAGGGCACTGCAGAAAGGATTCAGAAAGACCCCCTTCCGATTATTCTAAAAGCTTGGACTTTCACATGAGAGGACGGAGAGCGAAGTTGGAATCTCCATCAACAAAGATTAGCAACCAGTCTCCCGTATTTAAGGTTAACGCATTGGCCACTGTGGTATGGAGGGCTACGCCAGGGGCTCTGCTGAGCTCACTTATTTCTCCTCCTTCCTTTTTGTCTGGGATGCTTACAGTGAGGAACCAAGTGAAGACAACTGTCTGCTCTGGTGGCTGTAGGACATGCAGGCAACTCACCATGACTTCAGGTAATATTTAATTCTGTGTTAGAGTGCACTGACAGATACAGAGAGAGCTTCCACATCTACGGCAAAGGCTTTATTCCGTAATTTCGGCAGTGCCAGCAAAACATTTGTACCATCTACCTCCTCCTCTGGCCACTTTAGGAATCTAATCCCCTCATTTCCCTCATCCTCTTACATGTGCTTCCCCTCCCTGTTCTCCAACCAAAAAAAAAAAAAACCAGCCATTTCACTCAAAGACAGAACAAAACAGCTCACAATTTCATGGGTATGGAAAGAAGGGAGAAAAGGATGGGCTATATAGCCCACCCAAACTCTTTTTAAAAGCATTGTTCTAAGAAATCATTATTTCTGCAGCCTTCCTCAGTGTCTCTCCAAAGATTCACTGAACCAGGTAGGACCATGCCCCACTATTAAGGGTACTGCATTAAAGTCATCACACAGTGTACTGAAATGCAAACAGAAAAGGTATTTTCTGTTCATAAACAGCATTTAAAGCAAGTCAAAGTGCAGTTCCTGCAGATAGCTGTTTAACATACTCAGCTTTGGAAACCTAAATTCTCCTATCCTGTTTTTGGATGAAAGACAAGATGTCTGGTTTTGACATTCACTGGGAGGAGGGGAGCAGGGTGGTAAATCATACTGATTTTTACAAATTTGTTGCAGCAAGATTAAAAGTGATGCATGAGATGAAACTCCTTCCTCTCCCACTTCCTCCATTTTACAAAGAACCTGCAGATGGTGTTTTGCAATCCATGCTGTCTCATACTGTTTGCTTTACCATGGAGCACAACTGAAACCAGAAAAACCTCAAAAGGAGCAGCCAAAAAATGAAAGGAAGATATCATATCAATTTGACAAGTTGTTCAATCTTTTGGTTAGGGCCATTTCTCCAGCCTTTCTCCAGCCGGTTCAGCCACGCTCACGCCACTCTAACTCTAAGGAGGAAAGTCTTCCCAACCAGTGCCAAGTAACCAGAGCCCCTCAGGCAGGGATCTGGCCCACTTTCACAAAACAACAAGTGAGTAGGTGAGACGTGGGAGACAGACCGGGGAAACGCAGCATCCCGAAGGAAGGATAATTTACGGCTCAAGAGAGGTACCCACTGGAAAGATAAGAAGCCCATGCTTTCTGCAAAATATTAGGGAACACCTCTCTTTTACATGCTTTTGGGTCAGGCATAAAATGGAGGTGCTCATCATTCTTCAGTAGGCCTATTACACAATTGTCACTAGAACAGAAGTATAACACATACATCCTAACCACATCCTATTCCTCTTGCTTTCTTTGGTTGTTTCAGATGGCCACATCATCCTTGTCCTGAACAGACACATAGCAGTTCCTGCTTCTGCTATTAAAATATACTGCATGACAGCCTTGTGGCTAGGTCCTGACTGGACACAGATATGTTACAGATAAGAAAGCTTGCTTCAAGTCTGAAAATGTTTATGTTCTCAGAAAGCAGGAAACACAAGACGATAGAATATTTTCAGTGTATTCCTAATTAAACCAAGCAAGTGTATATATAGATGAAAGTGTATGCCAATTCATTCTTATAACCTTTTAACCCAATATTAACTGTTCAATATCTTAAAAACAAGGATATAGAGAAGAAGAATAGTTTATGAAACTAGCTAAACAGAGGGGCTGGGGAAAACAGATGAGTTTTTGGGTGTACAAGACCTTCTTCAAGTCTTTAGAATTTTCCTAAAAATTCATCTTTGGATAGAAATTTTCTGTACAGATGAGAAGCGCTGGATGAGAACTCTTTCCTGTGAGGGTGACTGAGCACTAGAGTAGGTTGCCCAGAGAGGTTGTGGAGTCTCCTTCTCCGGAGATATTCAAAACCCACCTGGATGTGATCCTGGGAAATATGCTCTAGAGGACCCTGCTTGAGCAGGGAGGTTGGACTAGATGATCTCCAGAGGTCCCTTCCAACCTCAACCATTCTGTGATTCTGTGATTCTGTGAAGCTCTGAAGTTGGTGACTAGCATTTCTAGGAAAGCAAAGGGGATGATGAAGCAAGACAGAGTACAGAATTAAGTTTTAAAACAGACTGATAGGAAAAAAGTAAAATTGGGAAAGAAAATAAGGAAATGCACCTATATCTCAACTGGATAAAACTGAGAGAGCAATGGACTAGAATATAGGAAGTGGAAGGGTTTGAATATAGGGTTTTGTTGATCAGAGGAAAAGTAGCAAAGGATTCCCTAGTACCTGCCTACTTTAAAAATCAGAATTTGGTCTATAGCCAAAGATCTGAAAACCTCACCGCTCTCCATCTCTTCTCCTTCACCATGCTTAATCCCTCTCCTCAACGACAACAAACAAACAAACAAACAAAGGAGCTAACCCAAAACTCTGGTGCTCTCCCCCAGTGCCTGGCCTGGAGAAAAATCTCAAAACTAAGAAGAAAAGGGAGATCAAAATATTTCATACATAGTTTTTCCTTCATTTTTCAAATAAATCCTGAAATGTTACTATTATGCTGTATTTCATTTCCTTGAAATGTCATCTGTAAATTGAAATGAATTCACGGTCCTTAGAAGGTGCCACTCGGCGAGGCTTCTGGCTGACCAGCTTCGGCCATCTGATTCCATCCTGACTAGAGCTCCCATGCCTTTAGGCTACGGTTCAGCGCAGAGACAGGCAAACTGCTTTTGCTGCTAGGTCCAGGAGCCACGGCTGAGTTTGGTTTAGGGCTGGTGTGAGAATGGATGAGGAGGCTACATGTTGGCTGTGATTGCCCTTGACAGAGGTTACAGCAGGCAGTAGTGACCCGCGCTTCACATAGTGCTGCTTTGAAAAGAGCAGGGCTGACCCACACATGAGGACGTGTCAGGCCTCAGCTGCTGGGAGTCCCAGGGCAGACACCCGGGAGAATTCAATCCCAGCAGAGGCCATCAGCTAGGTTTATGGCTGCTTTTTTGGACTCTCTGTCAGGCCAAAGCAGGCACTGGCGAGGGCAGGCAGGCATCACTGGGCGAGGGTCAGGGCTGAGAACAGCATTTCAGACCAGCAGAAACTAACAAACCAGGCTCAACTGATGAGTCCAAAAAGGTTAGGCTGAGGGACAGTGCTAAATCTGAGATAGGCAAAAGCTCTTCCTGGGTTTGGGATTAGTGCTGTTGTCCAGGTCTGAACTTGAGTTAGCAGGAAGCCTTGTTCCAAGGCAACAGCAAGCTAAGTTTATTGCTGGGGACAAGCAAGGCCAAAAGGCTTGGTTTAAGGCTGCTACTTGGGTGCCAGTTATACCCATAATAAAGGACAAAGGATAGATCTTAGAAACATCATGAAGAGAGGTAGTGGAGGTGGAAGAGGATTTGTCAGACTTGGATGTTTAAAGCATAAACGGAAAGGGAAGGATTTAAAAAATAGACAAGTTACAGGCTTCTGTGAGTGGGAGGCAGTAAAAAAAAAACCTGATACAACAGGGAATTGAACAAAAGATCATAAGTTCAGCTTCAGCTAGTTACAGAGGAGGAGATACCAGGAAATCATCAGCTTCCCAGTCTTCAGTTGAAAAAAGTTCTTAAAACAGATTAATGTGTTACAAGAATGCCTCTCTTTCTTAACCCTTTAATATGTTAATTTAACAAGCTCTGATTTCCACTTCCTATTCCTGTAGACAATCCACTGCTTGCTTGGCTTATAAACTGGAAAAACTTCCTAAGGAATTAAGGGCAAACTAGAAGAAGGTAAAATGAGAGAGAAATCAAGACTAAAAGTGAGGTATGCAATTTTTTCTTTTGGTCTATGTGCGTGTGAACCATTGCTACAATCTGCATCTGCCCAGGGTATATTTGAGTACACTCATTTTGCTGTTTTGGTACTTCGTGGTCATTCCACTGCACTTCATGACAAATGAGGTGCTGTTCAAGCCCATATATTCTTCTATTTGACCATCTTTTAAAATGCATTACTGTGCCCAACTTTTATGAACCTCTGCATTTTCAGGTATGTTCATAATTCATCTGCATCTAAGCATGCATGTAAAGCAAGAGTGCAAACAAAGTCTTTAGAGGAAAGCTTGGAAAAAGGGACAGTTGGGGCAGATCTGTCCCAGACACACTACCCGGCAAGCTACTGCAGCGTGACTTCTTTGGAAAAATGCTACAACAGGACTTTCAAGTTGGTTTCAGTCTTTAAAATCAGAGTGGGACCTCAACTTTCTGACTAGCAAGCTACATTTCTTGTTCAGCCTTTACAAGGAATGCAGACTTCTGCCATACCAAAGTTTAGCCCTAGTAAGGCCCTCGCTTTGAAATCTCTTTACTAATAGGCCTTAGCTAGTAATGAGGAGCCAAATGATCCTCTCATGAAAATTTTAAATATACTAGAAGAACACATATGAGGCTTCTGCAAGAGAAACTCTCTTGTAGAGATGCTTGCAAAAATCCCCATCAGACAACACGGTCTGTCTCCCTCAGAAGTTTTGAAGATCCCTATGGATGTATGAAAGGGCTACATGAGCCCTACACCCCAGTGCGAGCCTCTGGTACCTTCTCTAATTCTTCCTGCACAATCACCACCTCAGGGACCCAGGATAAGCATGCTGCAGGAAGGATGAGGTAGCCTCACACACAGCCTGAGGGCGTTTCCCACAGGCTTTTCTAAAAGTGTTATCTTTTGGAAGGTGCTGTTGATTCTGTTCCACTGAAATCATTTCAGATTTGGCTACGGAGCAGAGTTCTCCGTACAAATACTTCTCATCCATCTCTTCCCTTACTCACCCAACAGGCTTTGTCTTAAGGCAGAGAGCTTTGCATTATTTAATATTGCTGCCTCCGCTGAAACTTTAAAAATCAAGGTAATAGAAAACAAAAGGTTCACACCTCGTTCAAATTTCAGTCTCTTGTATAACTGAAACTGGTCAACAGGTACCAAACAGGCAATCTAAAATGAGAAACAAACAGACAGGAAAAATGTTAGAAATAGAAAGACTTAAAAAAAAAAAAAATTAGCAAACACCATGCTCTACACGCATACTCTCCTGAGCTGGATCTCAAATCCACCTTCTTTTTCTGCCCGTTTTTCACCACCACATTCCTCTGTAACCTGGACTTCCTTCTCCAAAGCGTAAAGTCATTCTTGACCTCTCTTATTTAAGTCACACAGCCCAGTAGTTCAGCCATATGTTTTTTACCAAGCATAGGAAAGTCTTCTTTGTGGATTCTCTATTTATCTCAACTTCCCAATTTTGTTTCATGCAGGTGTAATGTAACGGACAGTGACAGACTGCCAGCCCTGGAGATTGAAGTCTGTTGTTTATATACAAGAATTCAGCCAAAATGGAAGGTTCCTCATTGTCTCTCCACCTTAATGGCATGGGTCAGTTACCTCTTAGGAACGAAGAAGCTAGTCTGGTTTCCATTTTTCACCCGTTTCATGGCTTTTTGGCTAAGATAGTTAATGCTATTGCTGTTGGAATTTACCTTAGACACACACCAGCCCACTGGGAACTGGACTGAAGCTAAGAGATTGAGTTGGCATAGACAAATAGGCTTTGCCAATACATTTTATGCATTACCATAATATAGCTAGCAGCTAAAAGGCTAAAGGCTCTATTTCCAATTAAGAGCCTCTGTAAGAGCACGCAATTTATGACTAATACACCTGTATATGGTGTAAGGAGAGGTTCAAATAAAACTTCCTGGTCACTCAGGAGCTGAGCTGATCAGATTCAAAATCTGACTTCATTCTATTTAATCCATTCATAATATTGTACATTTTATACCAACACTGCAAATTTATCTTCAGCTATCTCAGCACCCTTCTCTTCTACTAAGAATAAAGCTAGACTGATGCCAATATAAGACCTGGTCTTTTGAAGCCCTGTGAGACAGTAGCTCAAAGTGAAGGACTCTCAATCCTCATATCCAGTACTCCCCTATAGTCCTTCAGATTACTGTAAAAGGCAAAATGTTGTCCTCAGTGAAGTGAAAACTGGCCATTGCTATCCTCCTGGGTTGTGCTGCAACACATTCACGTGAGAAGGAATACAAAGATCACCAAAAAAAAAGCTGCTATCATGCTGTGAATACATTTTGCTTCTATAGATGGAAAAAGAAAAGTAAAGAATATATTCATTTGTATATTATAAGAACTGAAATCACTTTAAGATCTCGAATAAGTTGGAATTAAAATTGCCTGTCAAAGGCAGATATTGGGATCATTTATTTGACCTAAAGCAATATCATACAAAAAAATAATGCCACCGACGTCAACATTTAAGTGTTCAAAGGTGCTTAAAAGATTTATAATTGAAGGAATCAGAGGACTTGATAGCAAAGTGTGAAACTTTAATAAATCTTTAAAGAATATGTTTTTAGTTTAGTGAGTGAGTCCTAGGGCTCAAAATACTGCTTTCATTCTGAATTCTAAGTAGAGTATAAAATATTTTTAATATTAAAGTATTTTTATGGGATAAACCATATTCCTTCAATATGACCTAGGACACAGTGAACTTTCTGGGAATTTTTCTTCACCTGTTCATCAGAAGTTAGCTAAAACGTTCTTGGGAAAAAAAAAAATGAAAACTTAATCAAACAAGAAAAAAAAAGAGTGAAGCTTAACAGCTTCAGCAAAGAACAAGGTCAACCAATAAAATTATATGAAATACACAAAACCCATAATTTCAGTATTGCCCACTATCCCCAAGGCAGCTGGAAATCTAAACAGAGTTTGAAAAAACAAAAAACAGTCTTCTGTTTTTCTGCAGCTTGGTGAGCACTGGCAACTACTAAAATTTTACTCCATTATGACTAAATTAAAACAGAGAGTCTCAATACTTTAAGCTTAACAGCCACTTGAGTGGATAGTTTAGCTGACTGGGGTCTTTTTGTGCTTGCTCTTGTTTTTACAAATAGTTTTTCAGGAGCAGTTTTGTCACGCCTAGAATTTCCCCATTAAAAATCAGCCTTTTTGATTTCAGTGGGAGCAGAGTTTTAATGTGGTTTGCAATAGGCTGTAGAGTCCATGCAGAGAGCTTCCTTTTCATCTATTTAAAACCTGAACTTACCATGCCAGCCTTTCCCACTGGTTTCATCCAGCCTCACACTTCTTCCTACGTAGCCTCGCCACAGCCCAGGCCCCCTTCCCTGCACACACAGCTCCAGGCGCCAAACAAACACAACCCATCTCTTCTGCCATGGACTCTCCCAAGCTTTGAAAGACCAACTCCTGATATTATCTGCAGGGAGATCAATCTGAAAGACACGGAGCTGAAGCCACTCACAGGTTTAGTATCTTTATGCCTGAGGTAGGGAAGGCACAGTCTGCCACTGCCTGAATTCAGTGCCATAGCAAACCTGTATGCGCAACCTCAATTTAAAAAAAATGAAATGTGTTAGTACCAGGTCCCTGGTTATCAAAAAAGCAGCAAATACTTTCCTCAGGGAACTTTTAATCTCATCTATACTTAATAGTGAAGGACAGCACTAAGCACAGCATGGAGATTAAATGTTTTTCTCCTCCTACTCAGCATCAGATTCTTGATGCTCATGTTCATAACATTTCTCCAGCCCCACCTGGGAGTCTATCCCAAACACCTCCTCTCCTGCACAGCTGTACACACCTATGGGTTCAACAGACGATGGAGATCTGGGGCAGGAATCAAACCAGCAACACAGCTGGTGGCAAAGGACCAAAAGAGAAAAAACTTGAGCACATCACAAAGCAAGACACTCCTTACTCTCGCTCTAGGTTAAGAAATTACTCAATGTAACGAGGCCATCTGCGGAATGTCACAGGAGAAGTTTTAGGGCTATTTGTTTAATACTAGGTTAAGGCTACAATAAACACCTCTGAAGAAAATGAGAGATTAGGGCTCTTCTCTCCTGAAAAGATGTTGATTTGAGACTTACCAGACTTTTGAGAGTTGAAATAAACTTTCAGTTTTTCTATGTATCTTAAGCAACTTCTGCAGTTATACAGTACTGCTGTTACAGACCACAGTTGTACTTAAGAATAGCAGCTGTCACCTGCAGCAAATATGTCAATGGAAAAAAAGCAAAATTTTGAAGGCTCACTACCCACAAAAGGTGCCAACTGGACCCTTGCCAAGCATCCAGAAAGGCTGCCCAATACGCTACAATAACTGGGGATGTTGTTACTCCACGAGACAAAAGAGCAAAGAAAGGAAAATGAAAGGATTTGAAATAATTGGGTTCAGTTTACACAGAGCCAGATTGCTCCTTATAACAGAAGTTGTGCAGCAACCAGGAGCCAAGGAAGAACAACTCCCCTGTTTTCAAACACTGGCTACCATAGTGGAAAGGGAAAATCATTACTCCACCCATCCTCAGGCTTTCAAGGGAGATGCAAGGAGGCCATCAAGAAAATTGAATAGATCTTACTTCCTTTCACACCCATATGAATCAAGCCTCGCTCTGGCCTAGAGAGAGAAGTTCATCAGGACAAATACTTCTCTCTTCAGGAGATGCACAGCAAGGGCAGATCTGGCACTGGCAGCATCAATTAGACTGCCCCAAAGGGTTGCATTGCCAGTCTCTGCTAAAAAAGTGGCAGTGTCTAATTTTGCAAGGAATGCAGAACAGGGGCTGTGGGTTTCCTTTTAGGGGGGCAGGTATTAATCCCCTCCTTGTTAGGAATTATGTCCTCTCCTTTCTTTACTAGATACCACGTTAACTAGTTTCATGACGAAGCGCCTCTCTCATTTAGTGAACAAGGAAAAGCAATCTAAGGGTCTCTTATTTCCTGCCTTTGGATTTATTTAAGAACTGGTAAATAGCAAGAATAAAAGTTTTAATTTTGACTCTGAAAAAGAGAGGTCTGCCTGCAACATTTTCTCACTTGCCTCTCCATTTTACCATTTCACTCGCCCCTGGCAAAATGCAAACCAATTTTCAATTTAAAAATAAAACCAATATTTTAAACTGACTCCCAATGTTTGTTTTTTTTTTTTTTTTTGCTCAGCTAAATAGGGAATATAACACAATTAAGAATTTTAAGATCTGGGTCACTGTCCCATTTCAGCAGCTCTTTACAAGGAGCTGACAGCCCTGGGCGAGGTTAGTGCTGGTGCAGATCAGGCACTTTCACAGGCAGAGGGAAGCTCTGCAGAAACGGCCCTGAATGCAAAGGGGCAAAGCTGCAGGCTAAAATCAGAGGCAAAAGGAGAACCCAAACCGGGCTCTGTCTTAGGGCCTGCTGCACAGTTTTAACCCAAATCAGCTTACATGGGTCACAGGCATCAGCTCTGCAAGCTTCAGAACAAGACAGGAGTCAGAAAGAGCAAAGAAGCACAAGCCCCTAGACGTTACCTGAGCGGGTACTGCATTAGAAGGCCCAGGGTACACTAGAGACTTCTCCTGCTTCATGGCTTACACTGGTGATTGGATTTGCACCAACTAGAACCATTTCAAATCATGATAAATTACCCCTTATTTAGATTTGGTCCAATTAAATCAATGGAGCCAATTCCCAGCAGAGACAGGAATATTCTAGATGGAAGAAGCCTGCGCTATTAAAGAGAACTGCAGAGCCCAAGATGTTCCTTCCACCTCTTGCTTCCAGGAATGACTCCAAATCAGTTTTGTTTATTGTACTATTAGATCTTGAAAGGACAAACAGCTTGTTTAATGAGATTGCTTTTAAACCTTCCTTCTTTGCATAACCCGCTATTTGAAATAGAGCCTGTAGCCAAAGCCAATGCCTCTCCACGACTAACACCCATTAATTCTACTTTAAAACAAGCTATAATATAAGCAGCAGCTGCTATCTTAACATAACAGGTCAAGATATGACCTAGGATTACACTTGATTTCAAGTGCTCCAGTGGAACAATTCCTTCTGTTTGAATGTACTATTTGTCCAAAACAAAAACTGCCAAGGAACATACTAGTTTCAACTAGATTTTATTACCAAAAAAAAAAAAAAAAGGAGTTTTACAACACATACTTCGAAAATACTGAAAGATACAATTTTTTTGTTCAAATGATTCTTCATTTTATTTTTTTTTAAGAATTAAAAACCTGAAACATTTTCTTCTGCGTTCCAGAAAGACACAATGTTCTAGCTCACAAAAAGTAAAGCCTTAACTCCTAAAATGTCCTTTATGCTGAAAATAAACAGTACTACTCCTCCTGTAGAGATACTTTTCTGCTTCTCATAGTTGTTCATTTTTTGGTGACACATACGAGAACAAATTTTATTACGTGTTTAAAATTTAATGTTTTGCCCAAACAAAAGGCCACACGAGGCTACATGTATGTCAGAATCAAGTCAAGTACAGAGAAGATAATTTAGTGCTGAATAACAAACTAATTAATTTTACTGAGAAGCTATGATATACTCTGGTTACAATCAAGACAAGCAGGTCACTGAAAAGCACTGAAGAAATGTTGCACACCTTGAATAAGGACATTCACAGAGGGAAGCAGAGGAACTTTCATAACATGTATTATAAACTGTATTATTAACCGTTCAGTTTCCTCAGTGAAAAGGGCTCAATCAAAAATGCATTTGAGTCAATAGGCCTTTCTTCACTTTAAATTATGCCTAAGTTCACCTTATCTCCCTCATGCAGGCCAGGGCAAAAGGCATTTAAAAAGCAAACACGACAATTGCATTAGCCTACATAATTAGACACAATTTAGCCCAAAGTATAGAAACCAATTTAACACTGTTCCCAGGAGAAAGAGGATTTGAACTGCTCTTTTTTTTTTTTTTTCAAACTGGAACCATACCTGATCAACTTCAACCACAGCAGACTCTGAAATGGACACGACATGGAAAATACACCTTTTCAAAACCCTCATGCTAACAGGGGGAGATGGGGGGAGACACAATTATTTTTACCCCCTGTAGAGGCAACAGTTACAGAATTTTCAGAAGAAAAATAAAGCCTACGTGCCTGTATTAATATATTTTATTGAGCTCAAAAAGGAACTTTTAACTACACAGATATAAACAACACTAAGGTGTATCCAATCGAATGGTAGAGAAAATGGCTAGCAGGTATGTTATTCTTCATGGCACTGCTCTGGTGAGGAATCTTTTCCTCCCAAAGGCTGGAGACCAAAAATCCAGACCCTACGGAGGCAAGAAGGCTGATACTCTTATGCCTAGAGTTTCAGACTATGTCATGAATAATCTGTAATTCTAAGCAGTACTTCCATGCCAAACAATAGTCATATTTAATCTTATTTTTTACCATCTGAATGAGGTTCTATTCTTTAAGTAATAGCTTTTAAAGGCCACATTTTCACATGGAACATACAGAGACTAAAAAAAGAATGCAGAGAGCTCATGTGATCTATAGCTATACTAAACTTTCAAATCAATAGAGACATTTGCTTGGGTTTTCTAGGTATTCTTCATTAAAGAAATATATATTTAGTAAAATACATAAGCAGTTAATTTTAACCAGGTTGGGGGCTTGTTTCTTTGCTTGCTTTTTAGCAGAAGGCTTACACTACAGGTACATTGCCAAAAGGGAGCTTCAGAACATTCATTCATTCACGAGCCATTAGTGTACATCTGGGGTTGTTCAGTCATTCAGCCTTTAGCCCCCCAAAGCACTCGAGGAATAAGCTAATGGTCTATTAACACATGCCCTGGAATGTGCTCCTGCTTACTAACGGGAAATATGTCTTTATAATTCTTATATCTTCACAACCCTAGCTTAACAGAGTAGAATTCTTCCTACCATTTGGTAAGTGTTTTTGAAAACAGCATTTTCAATTAAGGCTAGTTGTCTTCAATCTGGTGCAACAGGTGGGATATTGCTATGTCCTTTCTGCGTCTGGACAGAAGAAAGGAGGAAGGGAAATAGCTGACTGCTTTCCATGATAGCTGGGCTCAGCCAAAGAAAAGCTCCACCATATGCCTGCATGCTGTACCAAATGTAGCTATGACTCCTAGGCCCTGATTCAGCTAAGCGCTCCACTTCAAACGCATGCTGGAGAAGAAGCCATGTACTTCTCTGGAGAAAAAATATTCTTGGTAACTCTCTCCAGCTCAGTGTGAGAAGGTATTATCCCTAGCCCCTTATTTGAGTAGAGCCACAGCGGCTGGGGTTGTCTTCTGCATAGCTTCTCTGCACTCCTTCCCCGGCCAGAAGTGATTCCCTAGTCATTCCCTACATCTGTCATCGTTGAGATCTTCCTGGCTCTGTGGCAGAACAGAGAGGAAGAGACTCTAACCTGAAGCCAAAGCTTTTGCCTCTCTATGGGTCTATCACTGGCATGCCTGCTTGGAGGGAAAATCCCATTCCAAAATGGATGGAATTGAGTTTGTCCCTTAATGCCACATCCCCAGTAGAAAATAACCACTCCTAAAACACTTGTGAGAAATAACTTAGCTATTAGGGCCCACTCCCATGGCTTTTACTGCAAAGCACAAAGATTTTTGAAGGAAACGAGCACAGTTCACATTTACCAGGGAATTCCACTGCCAACAATTGCATTTGAATAGGATTAGATACATGTAGCACAATTATGCCAGTTGTATATATAGGGCTCAAGGATATCCAGAAGATAATGAATTGTTTTTCTGTAGTTCAGGGATAGAGGTCTGAATCTCCTTGATTTTCTGCCTGCACAGATACAGGCAGAACGCACAAAGCCAGTCAAAATCTTTTAGCCACCTTTTCTCTGCCTGTCCTCCCAGGCCCAGCAGGGGCCTACCTGGCTCACAGAGCAATCAAGAATAGCTGCAGGACTACATCAGAGTTGCCCTCAGTTTTCCATTGCTTTCTAGATGCACAGAATAGCTGGCACCTATAAGGGTTCCAGCCACACTGCCAACAGCTCCTCCCCATGTCATGGGTTTCGTGCTAAGCCCAATTTAGAAACTTTATACCATCTCTAAATCAGCCACAATGTTGTCTGAGCATTGCTGAGAGGCCTTCAGACAGCAGGGTAGGGGCATTTACAGGCCCCTTAAATCCCTTCAGCCTGAATGGTGTAGGAAAGTCTGAAAACTACATTTCTTCTTGATCTTCTCTAAATCCACCCTTCAAATTGAGCCTTCATGTTGTTCTAGGGGATGGTGCACATGCCAGTGCAGCAGCTGCGCATAAATCCCATTTCACTTCTGAGCCCTCTCCCATCTCTGCTTTGGGACTTAAGACCCACTTTTCACCTCTTAAGACCAACTTCCATCCAGTGGTGTGCAACGACCTTTCTTTCAATACAAATACACACAGTCTTAATGTTTTCCTGTGGAAGCCCAACATAAATGTGAAGGAAGAAATCCTGGCCCTGCTTACAATCAGTATGAGATCTTGCCCCTGGCTTTAGCGAGGTGCTAGAATGTCAGTGTTTGTAATCAAATCAAATCGGACTTAATTGACAGCAGTAATGGAGACTCAGCAGTTCTGGGATACAGGGTATTCTGGTTAAGTCACCTGCATGGGTAATTCAGGGGTTGCCTGGATGCCAAGTAAGACTTTCCTCAAGGCACAGGGGGAAAGAAAAAAGAGTAAAACCCTTGAAAACATCTGTTTGTTTCTGGTTTCTCTTGTCAGTCAGGCTTCTTGCCAGAAGCTCATTAAGGTAATTAAGGGGAGGAAAAAGTACATGATCATATTTATTATGTAGATGAAGAAAGAAGGACTGGGGGTTTTATGTTAAAAAAAGAGAGAGAAGTCTTGATACCTCTGCTTCTTGTAGGGTCCCATGGTTCAAGCACACCACGTCCGGACAGGTAATAGGAGAGCCACAACCTTCTTGAATTGCCAGCTGCATGTACTGTTTTAGGCACTAGAAAGAAGGAAAGAAAAAAAAAATGATGGAAAGTTACGGCCCACATGTTGGTAACACACAGATGCTAGAGATACTGCACAGCTACCACCTCTGCTTCCTTAATTGGCTGTCCTGAAGCTCCAGCACACAGAAAACATCAATTATTACAAGTATGAACGCTACAAACCATTACACTGGAAAGAATGCAACAAAGGATAATTAATTATGTATGACTTCATCTGCCAAGCATTGCGTTTACCCAAGTCAGCAAGTCAGATCCATTAGCGCTAACATCTAGACTCCACTAAACCAGGGTTGGGGGATGGGGTGGGGCTTTCATCCTAATTAAACAGGCTTTGCTCCTTCGTCTGTTTTGTTTTTCCTTCCGTGTTCTTAATTTTAAGACCCTCAGCTAGTAGTAGCCTCTGTTATAGGAGACCTCAGTTACAAGGAGAAGACTACTGTTCTCAGCTGCATAGAAGGGGGAGGGGGCTTATACTCTGGCTAGAAGGTTAACCTGCTCTAGAAGGTGTGAAACGATCAGTTCCCCCCTCCCCTTGCAAGTCCTCCCAAAGAGATCAGGTAATTTCCACGATTTACCATCACCCTCTGGTCTACTGAGTGACAGTTCAAAGTCCGTTTGTAGCGTGGAGACCTGCTTATGAATGTTTCCAGGTTGTTTCATTACACAAGAATGGCAGGCCTTTCCTCCTCCCCTTATATTTTACTTGGCCTGCCGGTTTCAAATATCTTCAATTTGGATTTCAGGGAGCCATAACTCCTGCCTATTTCACACACTTCATACAGTCTTCAATAAAACCAAACTGGCAGAAAACTGCTGTAACAGACTACAGAACAGTACTCTTTAAGTTTTCATCTCAAACTACACAGGTAAGTAAGCAAGCTGACTTCCAATTAAAAAATAACCAATAGCCTGGTCCAAAAAAATGAGAAAACATACAGCAAACTGCAAATCACTGCTAACAAAATAACAAGACACGGATTTCCGGCAGATTTTGGTATCAGCTTGCATAGTTTATCTTAAATGAAAAACAACATATTTTATGAGCAGCAAAACTAATGAAGCTTTGTTCCCTGCAGACTTGTATAGCACATCCATGTGGTATACCTCTCCTCCTCAGCACTGCAAGCCTCTCCCCCTACCACCCTCGCACCCTTTCCATCATCCACCTTCCATCTCTGAGGACAGCTAGTGGGTTGAGCACTACCTGACCATCCCTCGTTAGGGCGGCTAATTTAGGTTTCCCTTGCTAGTCATCTGTCAATTTTCTAGAAATATGTAAAAGTGTAAGGTCTTTGAGACCTCTGCCTGTCTGCCTGCCTGGAGCGTCAGCCCTGGTAAAGCCCCGGGACACTTCACAGTTTTTCCAATATTCATAGATATGTAACATTCAAGCCTACATTAGTCCTCATTTGTATTTTTATTGGAAAGCTGTTGGCCTCTTAAATGTCAGCCTACTTAGGAGTTTTCCAAAAGGAAATGAGATTTCCTTATTATTCTGTCTGCCTTTCCATTGAAATGTCAAAGTTCACACCTTTTTGGTTGATTCTGATGAACTATGTAGAGAAATTACTTCAAAGCAAGTAGAACCTGTTTAACATTGGCATTTTAAATGAATTTACTTTTGATTTGTAAATATCTGTAGCATAATTATTTAGAATTTTGTATAACCTTAATGGTAAGCTTTAAACATTTAGATCATTAAGCACTTATGGATTCTGATCCAACACATGCCCCTGTAAGAAAGCAGCAGAGCAGGCTGTAAAGAGATGCTGCCAGTAGTATGTGGGAGGTAGGGGAAGGTATCCACAAGCAAAGAGACAAAAACAAGCCTGTCATTAACTGAAGGTGCTATTAGCTACCCAGGGAAAGTCAGCCCGGGTTTAACCAGGAGCTATTCCTTTATTATCCAAAAGAATTCAATACCCTGTCCATTCCCTTGCCAACCTCCCCCCCTAAGGCATCCAGGCAGGGCACTATAAAAAGCCGGTTCGATCACTGGATCAGATCACCCCACTACGGTACACAGTTCCTGTGCAGAGCAGTATGCACAAACAGGGACAACACCCTGGCAGTGACCAGAAGATATCCTAGAGACACCGAAGCTACCAGGGCCCTGCAATGTCTGCATCAAGTGCTGAGCCCCTGCTCAAATTTGCTCCCTGGTTTGTGCCAGCAGCCACCAGGACTGACACCAACTGAAAATGCTGCCCTCCAGTTCCTGTCCCCAAAGCCCACGTGCATTGTGGCATGCTGGATACGTTTCTTAGGTACGTGGGTGATGCTACAGCACACGCTCCTTGCATCTCGCTCCTGCCACTCAGGGGAGACCTGGTTATTTTCTGGGTCAAGTCTCACAGCGGCATTTAGGGAAGAGGAATGTTCCCCTCTAAAGCATTTGGCTTGCCTTAATTTGTCAGCAAGCATAGGAGAACAATCTTTTACTCTTAGTAAGATCCTGGCTTCCATCTCTTCTGGGGCGCTGGCTGATATTTAGTAATTTGTTCTGACAGGATGATGCAGCGGACTCGTATTCTGGGGGCAGCTCAGGTCAACCCATCACCGAGCGAGGACAAAGCCTGAGAAGTTACTGCAGGCCCAGCAGCAGCCCAAAGGCTTGTTCTTAATTTAGACTCCTAGGACAGAAGCTCAGAGCACTGACAATTATCCTTCCACGGAAGGACGGGCATGAAGCTTTCAAGTAGCTTCTATCCACAGTATAGATTTTGAATTTAATTTCTATATACACTATCTAAACCATTAGGGTTACCAAGCCAGAAGAGCAGAGGTTTCTGAGCGTTGCTAATGAATCTGGATTCTCTTCGTCTTCAAGCCCATCGCTTAGCTGTAGGGGAAGCTAGCAAAAAGAGGCTTCTGCTATAGTTTTAGAGGGTGCTGCGCTTTTAGGGGATGAGTTGGAGAGATTTCATAACAGGCCTCTGCAGCTCCATGGATCTTCAAATGTTTCACAGAAAATATCCACATTAAATAGTTTCTATAGATATTAAATATTTTGCCTTGATTTTCTGGCCTTGGAAAAGAGGATTTTGGGTGCAATTCAAGAAGGCGGTGAAAGGATTTAAAGGTGCTGGGAACCCTGAAGGAAGCATTTAGCATTTATCACTGAAGGATTAAGCTTTTTACCTAGGTCCTCATCTAAGTTTGTACATGAAGTAAGAATTGAACTTCTTGCCCCCCCCCAAGTTAGTAGCAAAGAAGAGATGGTTGAAAACTACTAAAATTTTAAAATACATCTTCACTTTAAACAACAAGACTGTTTTTAGAGAGGTTTTATCATTATTATTTACAGCTCAGCTGCTAATTTAGCATCTTACTTGAAAAGTGGCAAAGAAAAGTAGCTGAAGAGATATACAAGCTGTAAATGTGAAGTAATGAGGATTCAGTGATGATGAATACATGATACATTTTCTCAGCAGTATGTTCTCCTACACTATGGAGAAGAATACATTATATAGATATAAAACGGTAAGATTTTTAGTGCTTTTTGTATGCAAAATTTAACAATATCCTAGTTAGAAGAGCTACGCGCATACTACATTTGCTATTTACTTGGTCTACAAAATAAAGGTAAGATCAAGGAAGTCAACCCTCTGCAACATTAGAGTTCCTTTAACGGATCTTATTCTGAGCACCCAAGAAGTCACCAGTTCTCAGCATCCGTGCGATCCACACCCCTACCCGCAAGCACCTTCTGGCAGTGGATTATGGATTCACAAGCACAGGGAGCAGTCGGTGGCTGGGGCAGCTGCAGCACAGGACCTGTGGCTGACAGAGAGCTGTACTGCTGCTGCGCTGTCCATGGCCAGAGCAAGTCACCTGTAGCTACCTTTCTACTAGAAAAGCAAGGTTTCCAGGAAAGCTTCATTAGTTGTGGCAGAGTGGTTGAGGCATAAGGCTAAAAATACACTGAGGCCTCACTAAACAGGTTTGGATCCTGCTGACCACAGATAAACCAAAGGAATTTTAACTCCCAAACCTGCAAATGCACTTTAATCAATTTGCGTTCTTCTTGATTCAGATTTTACCCACCAAGCAACTATACCATGTACATATTTGTTTGTATTCTATGTATGACACAAAATAAAATCCTGATGCAATTATGGAAGAAGGATCGATTTAAATGGACAATATAATTTCACCAGAAAAAGCCAACGTATCAAACAGAAGGTCTTGAGGCTAATTTAACTTCATCAAGCAAGTTTTGCTCCTGTAGGACTACTGTCCGCTTCAGTGGAAACAGTACTATGAATAATTTGACCACCTCATCTGAGATTCAGAATGCATAATGAGACCTCTTTCAAATAGTTTGCTCTCTAAGAATTTTTTGGCAAGAATTTCTTTTTTCCCCCCTCGCTGTGTTTTTGTCTTTCAGTCCATCACCTTCCCCAGTTTAAAGAAATAAGATTAATATCCATTTACCTACTTCACAAAATGCTACTCTGGAACAGTTAGGAAATTAAGGCCTGTAAAGTACTTGGATGAAATTATTACAGCACATGCAACATATCTGCATGTATTTTTACCTTACAGGACTTGTACAAGAGATTAAATTTTAGCCAAGTATTTCTATATGCCCCAAGTACACATTCCCCTCCTGGAACTAAAAAACTGTAGAAAGTATACATCATAACAAGAGAAAATAACCTTGGAAAAAAAAAAAAAACACTGAAAAGCCCATTCCAGCAATATACAAAGTAATAATAAGAATTCCTTTTTCAGTAATAAAACACTTTCCGTAAGCTTCAAGAGTGTTTGCTCTGGTCACCTGTAAACTCTAGGAATATAAAATTCTGTTTAGGTTACTTACAGATTCTTCATTTCAACACTTCTCCCACAGGCTGTTGTAGCTTTACTTTTTTTTTTTTTTCTCCCAAAGCATATTGTATGGAAGGGATTTCTAAAGTACTGACCAGAAAACAGAAGTCTGTTTGGCAACGTATTTAATCTGCAAAGTGACCATAACACTTCTGCATTT